ATTCTGCGGGGAAAAAAATGCCAAAAATCAACAGTAATTCCTAGTTACTTAAAACTTGTACCTTATTATAATAAAATTGATTGGGCTATAAATCTGCATACTCAAAAAATTCAATGAAATCTGATTAAAAAGTTGAAAATTTGCTGAATTTTCGAGAGTTTTGCACAAAGTTTAGGAATTTTTTTTAAATTTTTTTGTTGTAGAATGAACTATATTTTTATAAAAAATTGGCGGAAAAATATTAGAAAAAAATTGTTGCATATATTGTGAAAAATTTGCTGTGCCAATACTTTTTGCCGGCAGTGTATGTACATACTTCCTTCTAGCATAAAGAAATCGCCAAAAATGGTAAAGAGCCGAACTAAAACAAAAAAAAATTAGAAAGTCGAGTAATCTAAAATAAGGGAATAGCCAAAAATACTGCATCCGATTTTTTTATTTTTTTTTTTCAATCAAAGTGTGTGAAAAACTCACGAAACACAAATAGCTCGAGGAAGTAATCGTCAATTGATTGCTAAAATAAAAAAGAATGCTTGCACACTTGAAGTTATCATTAAAGGGGTGAAGGGGCGGTGAGTTGGCAGTGCAAAGTATAGTAGATGTAAGAGCAAAATGCGCTCATTCATTGCCTAGTCGGTTGTACTTAAAATAGGAGCACAATAATTCATGCACCAAATTGGATGACACAAAATTTGCAATACACACAAATGCACAGCATTAACAACTATGTAAGTAGTTTGACATAAGTCCCAACAAAAAAAATTAAGAACAATAAAGCAGTCTTCCTTCCGTCTTAGCCCCAACAGCAGCAGCAGCGGCAGCAGCAGGTAGCCGAAGACAAATGGACGCGCCACAACGATGGCATAAATTTACGCAAAACACAGCAGCTANGACTTGAAGTTATCATTAAAGGGGTGAAGGGGCGGTGAGTTGGCAGTGCAAAGTATAGCAGAGCAAAATGCGCTCATTCATTGCCTAGTCGGTTGTACTTAAAATAGGAGCACAATAATTCATGCACCAAATTGGATGACACAAAATTTGCAACACACACAAATGCACAGCATTAACAACTATGTAAGTATTTAGTTTGACATAAGTCCCAACAAATAAAAAATTAAGAACAATAAAGCAGTCTTCCTTCCTTCTTAGCCCCAACAGCAGCAGCAGCGGCAGCAGCAGGTAGCCGAAGACGAATGGACGCGCCACAACGATGGCATAAATTTACGCAAAACACAGCAGCTATCCTTAGCAACAAGCTTTGTTGCCGCTGGCGAGCGTTGCGATGTGTCGCGCTCGCTCGCTTCCTATTAAGTAGCTGGCAAATGCTTGCAAATCTACTGGCACGCTGGCTGCCATAGCTGAGGCCGACAACCTTGATTTATTTGTTGTGTTGTTGCGACCGATGGCTGATCATTTAATTGCTGTCAACGGGGACAGCTAACGCAACAACAACACTATCTAATACGCATAAGCATTCCGCTGAGCTGCAAAAACAATAAAATATCGCAGCAGCGAGAATGAGAATTCCCAATAGCCAGCATCAGTCCTTCTAAGGTTCGTTTCTATTTAAAGGCGGAACGATGCGCAGTGAAGCACCTCTAGCGAGGCGAGCAGGCAACCAAAACAAACAAAAAAATAAAATAAAAATATTTAAATTAAAACAATAAAGAAAAACAATACTAGCGTTTTTCGCAATTTTCGCATTGTTTCAAAAACAACAACAATGCAACAAATAATTACCGTAATGCAGGGCAATCGTTGCCGCCGTCGCCGAGGTGATTCTGCATTGATTGCATTCTCGCTAAATAGCACTCTCTAGTAGTAATTGCAGTAGTTGCTGTTGTTGCAATTACTTTTGTTAATTGTGCGACACTTTCGTTGTTGGATTGCTGCTGCTGTTGGCCTATGCTCGGTATTCGCCTTTTTAATAGCTCGCCGATCTTATCGATTAGACGAATTCTGTCGGAAGTGTTTTTGCTACTCGGCGAAAATTAATTTAAGTATTTCTAATTTTCCTTTGTGTGTGTTTGGGTATGTGGTTAAGTTGTTCCAATTTCAATGCATTTTTCTCACTTACTTAATGGTAATATTTGCTTTAGGCTGCTCATCGAACTGTAACGTCCTCAATAGACATTAATGGACGAGTGTGTGTGTGTGTGTGCCTTCGTAGTTTTGAATAGAGGAAAGTTTTACGAAGAGTGTAGAACTCTGATGGTCATTGACACAAAACGTGTAAATTCTTTAAATATCTAAAATAAAGCCACTTGGCAAAGCAACCTAAATGATTTTAAAGTGGTTTTCTTTTAGTTTTTCGCCATTAAAATATGATATGTTTTGGAACGAATTTCCGTCATCCCTTGACAAGTTTGATTTGGACACTTATCTCCTAACGAGATACCCATGATATTTTAGAAGGAATCAGTGTACTTAATCTAATGTTGGCAAGAATGATTCTTAGTTGTATAGTATTTCAAAGCAGACATCGTCTTTGCGGTTAATGTTGGTTCGCAAGAATACAAAGTCCCCTAAAATTTCAAAATTATAACCGGCATCATTGGTGTAGGCACCAAGACGTGCAGAAGCTGAGTGCTAGTTTTGACCTCATTCACCAACAGACCCACGTGTTTCCCTCCTCTGTCTAAATTCGCGAAGGCAGATTGTTGAGAGTGGTTATGTCGATGTCATCGGCCAGTTTTGCAGCTCTTACCAACTTCTTCAACATATGATTAAAGATTATGATTAAAGAAGTCGCACTACGGTGGTGGTAAAAGCGGCAAAAAGGTCTCTATCATTATCGCGACTCAAATATTTTATAATATATATTTTCAAATATTTGGCGCATGAATTTCTGGGGTCTAGTGGATTTACCAAGCCACACTGATCAGCTCGTTGATGGTGGCCTTTAGCTCTTCTCACAATACGCTCGATTAGACCTTATGTGTTATATTAAATATGGCAGAATATAAATTCTTGTGGAATAGCCAAATCACACTTAAATTGCAGATGACAAGTATGAGTTCTTCCGACTATATTCTGCTTAAGGGTTGATGCATGCACCTTATCAACTCCACTCCTTCGCACTTGAATAGCTCAGCTGGCAGGTCGTCAGCTCCAGTACCTTTTTTTTGGCTTCATCTCCTCCGGCTGTTACCTTTAAGCAGTGTGGAAAAGTGCTGCCTCTCACTAGGTCGCCGTGGTTATTATTATTGGACCAGGGCGAACGGTCTTTGAACCTTGCGTAAGTTCTCTTACTTTCTGGTGGCCAGCATTTCAAGCTCTTCGCATTCACGTATTTCGTCCTCTCTCTTTTTACTACTTAAAAATACAATCGCCGCTAATGAGGTGGCTAGCCAAAGGCGGCACTGATGCAAAGTTATACTGTCGTTATCTCAACTTTGACGAGTTAATAGTTTAGCGCTTCTCCTCCAAGATTTGTTGCGTGCGCCCTGATGTTGTCACACAAAGAGGAGGAATCTACACGGCGATTGCATTGTTATGAGAAGCTGTTTTCATGGCAGAAATACACTCGGAGGTTTGCAATTGCCTGCTGTTGGTCAGAAACTGGGCTCGAACCCAGGGCGTGTAGGGGATAATGAAAAACCATAAAAATCGAAGTGAATTCATACAAGGTGGTATTACGGGAGCATCTGATTTCGAGGCGAATTGTGGTGATTTTCCAAAATGAAGTGTTTGTTGNGTGCGCCCTGATGTTGTCACACAAAGAGGAGGAACCTACACGGCGATTGCATTGTTATGAGAAGCTGTTTTCATGGCAGAAATACACTCGGATGTTTGCAATTGCCTGCTGTTGGTCAGAAACTGGGCTCGAACCCAGGGCGTGTAGGGGATAATGAAAAACCATAAAAATCGAAGTGAATTCATACAAGGTGGTATTACGGGAGCATCTGATTTCGAGGCGAATTGTGGTGATTTTCCAAAATGAAGTGTTTGTTGAAATTTTCTTTGGGTTGTTATTGTCACCTTGTATCAATTTGCCTTGACAAAAATAGATTTACTATGATCGAGCACAATTGCAATTTTTGCCAGATCAGATGATACAGACAAGCTATTATTTACATACATACATACATAAATATATATGTACAATTTATAATTTTATTGCAAAGCTTTGAGTAACATTATATTTTTGCATGAATAAATCATATAAATTTGCTTGTGTACCCTTTTAGGTTCGAAACTGTCGCGTCGAAAGCTATTCATCGGCACTTCCATTCATGTCTGAAAGGCCGCAGGGTCGTNTAATTTTCTTTGGGTTATTATTGTCACCTTGTATCAATTTGCCTTGACAAAAATAGATTTACTATGATTGAGCACAATTGCAATTTTTGCCAGATCAGATGATACAGACAAGCTATTATTTACATACATACATACATAAATATTTATGTACAATTTATAATTTTGTTGCAAAGCTTTGAGTAACATTATATTTTTGCATGAATAAATCAATTAAATTTGCTTGTGTACCCTTTTAGGTTCGAAACTGACGCGTCGAAAGCTATTCATCGGCACTTCCATTCATGTCTGAAAGGCCGCAGGGTCGTATGAGTAACCAAAAATGTTGCCGCACAAAAACCACACACGGCTTATATGGAATGAGTAGCTGAAGAGCTCAAAGTACCTCACTGCCAGCACCATTATTATGTGTGGGCAGCTCACTAATACAGGCAAAACGATGATAATGCAACGAGGGTAGAGCAATTGGCAATTGCTCTAATCGCTTTGCGCAGAAATTGCCAACTTGGTAGAGCGCTAGCAATTGCTTTCTCTCTGCCTTGTGTCTTCCATGGTAGTCGAACACATTTACAGGGCACCCTTTAATTTGCATTGTACGTAGTATGCGCCTGAAATATGCGCATGTGTTAGTCACTTCATTTTATTTATTTTAGATTCGCCATCGTTATTTCGTTTCGTTTTCATTCATTCCGCTAGCGCGATGCGCACACAAAATTTTTTCCTTAAATTGGCATGCATTTTTTTGCCTAAAGCCAACAGCAGCAACGCAGTGGTGATATAAAGGCGCTGCACGGTGATCGTCATTCCATTTGTTGTTGAGTTAGGGCGCCAACAAGGACCCACACGAGCAAACTCTAAACAAATATCGAGTTCACACATAGCTCACATAAGTTCGATTTGTATTCGTTTGTTGGCCTCAAGGTAATACGGTGATTTGAAAAACCGAAAAAAAAATTATTTAACGGTTATATTGATAGAGAGTTATGAAAAATGTGCNAATAAGTTCGATTTGTATTCGTTTGTTGGCCTCAAGGTAATACGGTGATTTGAAAAACCGAAAAAAAATTATTTAACGGTTATATTGATAGAGAGTTATGAAAAATGTGCTTATGGTATAGTTTTCCGAAAACCGTTATTGTGTTTGAAGAGAAAGTGGTTGAAAGTGAAATTCCAGCAGCAAGAAATTTTTTTCTATATATAAAAAAAAGTATTAAAATTTTTTTCATAAAAAATCACATACAAATATAAAAATACGAAGGACTAATATTGCAGTTGATTACTGAGGGCAGTCATAAAACTAATTTCAAATAATAAAAAATTAAATATTATAGCACAGTGCTTACTAAAATAGTGAATGAACTCTTGACGTATATTAAAAAATAAAAAGTAAACAATTTTGCAAATAACTATTAAGTACAGTTTAANGAAATAATAAAAAATTAAATATTATAGCACAGTGCTTACTAAAATAGTGAATGAACTCTTGACGTATACTAAAAAAATAAAAAGTAAACAATTTTGCAAATAACTATTAAGTACAGTTTAATTGAGACAGTGAAAATTACTAATCAAGGATTATGGCAGAAATGTTGGATTTAAAGGATTTTCGTTTCTTTTAATAATCCTCAGTGGCCGATTTTTCGTTCAAAGCTTTCTTACAAACGTTAATTTTTATTATGCAATGAAGTAGGCTGTTTCCCGCGCGATTGCGATACGCATTGAAAACTTACGAAATCAAGTGCTAAAAATAGCTGCCAATAAAAATACTCTTACAAAATTTAAGAGTCGGCGGATTTTTTTATTTTTTGAATTTTTGTGCAACACCCATGCATTTCCTTATTTAATTAAAATGGAAAACTGTACTTAAAACGAAAGTGAAATGAAAGCTATGGAAATGGAAATGAAATAATAAATTGTCGAATTAATCAAAGAAATAGCCGAACGTTTCCGGATTTAATTTCTTTAAAAAAAAAATTATACGAACGGAATATTTAAGTAAATCTTATTTAGCTCAGTTCGAAGAAAGTAGAACAAGCATAGTTTGGATTTGATCTTCGAAAAATAACAAAACTTAAACTATTTTCACCCATTTGCAGGTTAGATTAGAAAGCGCTAGTTGGCCGTAAAGAGCCTCACTTGGATTAAGTATGTACGTCCGGAGTATAGCAATATATGTACATTGACGACCTTTGCCAGCAGCCACTCCAACCTAATCCAACCTAACCTTCGACAATATATACATACATTGAAAATTATTGGAGTATAAAATCGAAAAAATTCAAACTATTATTTCTATAAAATTTTCAAATTAATATAAAATGTTTATTATCAATTTCGATTTTCATGAACATTTTTTCTAAAAGAATCTCGCCTATACCCCCAACTTTTAAGCCCAGTCCGATATTGAAATAAAAATGGCTTCTATTTTATTCGAATTTTTAAATTAATGAAAAACTAGCAAATTTTACCAACTCAATGCCAAAAACTCTGACAGCGACTTCAGACTTCATTAATCTAAAAGACAAATTTTTATACCTTATTGTAGAGAAAGAAATTCTCTAAACAATTTCAGTCGGTAATACTACGCTTCCATTCAAAATTTTCTTGAAGAAAATTATAGAAATGCGTGTTTCAGGATTTTTTTCCACGATAATTATAAAACTATTAGAGCAAAATATAAATGTATTTACTACATTTTAGGGAAAAATGCTATAAACAATGTACATATGTATGCAAGTATAATAAAGTGCCCGACATAATGATAAGGTCACCCTTTATTGAAAAGTTATGATGATTTATTTTTGTTTTAAAAATTAATTTTAATAATTTTTTATAAAATGTGATTCATTCTTTAACAAAAATAATATAAATCAAAGTTTCAAGCTTTGTGCAATATTTAAAAACATCCAACTAACTTTCATAAAAATTGCAAAGATAAAATAACAAAAAATTAATAAAAAATGCAATTAAGAAATATCTACAATAAATTAAATTCTAAGAAATTTCTGAAATCTCTACAGTACGCTAGTGGTAAAAAATTTTAGAGAAAAGATTTTTATAAGTTTAAAAAAAAAAATCACGAAACATTTCCCCAGAAACTCATGTTTATTTTATTTTAGATTAAATAATATTTTTTTCATATTTGAGCGTTTGATGGAAATTTCGCATTAAAATCCTCAAATTCTAGTCGATTGTTATATTTTCTTACTAAATTAGCTGCAAAAATTATGAAAAATATCCACTGTACTACTCACACACACAAAACTAACTATCAATTCTTCTCCTTCGCTCATTACAGAACTCACTTAACTAACTGCCAAAATGTGTGACGATGATGCGGGTGCTCTGGTCATTGACAATGGCTCTGGTATGTGCAAGGCTGGCTTCGCCGGTGATGATGCACCTCGTGCCGTATTCCCCTCGATTGTCGGTCGGCCACGCCATCAAGGTGTGATGGTGGGTATGGGTCAAAAAGACTCCTACGTGGGTGATGAGGCGCAGAGCAAAAGAGGTATACTGACATTGAAATATCCCATTGAACATGGTATCATAACAAATTGGGATGATATGGAGAAAATCTGGCATCATACCTTCTACAATGAATTGCGTGTGGCACCCGAAGAGCATCCAGTATTGTTGACCGAAGCGCCACTCAACCCGAAAGCGAATCGTGAGAAGATGACTCAAATAATGTTCGAGACATTTAACTCGCCCGCCATGTATGTGGCCATTCAGGCTGTGCTCTCCCTCTACGCTTCCGGTCGTACCACCGGTATTGTATTGGACTCTGGTGATGGTGTATCGCACACTGTGCCCATCTATGAAGGTTTCGCCCTGCCCCACGCCATTCTGCGTCTCGACTTGGCCGGTCGTGATTTGACCGACTATCTGATGAAGATCTTAACCGAGCGTGGCTACTCGTTCACCACCACTGCCGAGCGTGAAATTGTGCGCGATATCAAGGAGAAGTTGTGCTATGTTGCTTTGGACTTTGAGCAGGAAATGGCCACTGCCGCTGCGTCCACCTCGTTGGAGAAGTCTTATGAATTGCCTGATGGTCAGGTGATCACCATTGGCAATGAGCGTTTCCGTTGCCCAGAGGCATTGTTCCAGCCCTCGTTCTTGGGCATGGAATCGTCTGGTATTCACGAAACTGTCTACAATTCGATCATGAAGTGCGATGTGGACATCCGTAAGGATCTGTATGCCAACTCGGTCTTGTCCGGTGGTACCACCATGTACCCAGGTGAGTGGGTGGGGAAAAGAGTGGTGGAGCTGTTAGCTCGCTCTTTTACTGACTGGCTGTTTTTTAACCTTTTTCTCTCTCTCTGTCGCTCTCTCTCTCTATCTCTCCACAGGTATTGCCGATCGTATGCAAAAGGAAATCACTGCCTTGGCGCCATCCACCATTAAGATCAAGATCATTGCACCACCTGAGAGAAAGTACTCCGTCTGGATTGGTGGCTCCATCTTGGCCTCGTTGTCCACCTTCCAACAGATGTGGATCTCCAAGCAGGAGTACGACGAATCCGGCCCTGGTATTGTGCACCGCAAATGCTTCTAAATCTTTCGATTGTGAAAGATGGCGAAATGCTTTAGCGCAACCACTTGCTAACAACAAAAACAACAGCAACAACTCTACAACTACCCAGCGCAACTGCGCAGCGTTCGTGCTTGAAACAAACACAACAATAACAACAGCAAGCAAAATAAAACCCACCACGCAATCAAGATCTGCACTTACAACAACAACAACACAAAAGGCTTCAATAGCAACAACACATATGCGCATACATGCTAGCTCCAACAATAGCAGCAACAACAGCAACGGCTATCAGCAATTAATTAATGTGTATGCAAAAAATGCAACAATTGGCGCTAACAATAAGAACAAAGTCCAAATCACAACAACAACAAAAGGAGGAGATGCAAAAGATTTATCGAGGAATTGTCCCTGCGCGCCACCTGTCGGCAATTGCATTGCTTTATGTTGCATTTTCGTTTTAAAATTTTCAATCACATTTCTTTTCTCGGATTTTATGCAATAAAATTTGTGCAAAACTGAAATTTAAAAATTTAGCTAACAAAACAAAATTTTTAATTTTAGATGAATGTAACAAATTTTTTTATTTTTATTTTTAATTTTGCAAATGAACAACAAATAACTCATTAATTAAAGTTTATTATTTATATTACTTTTCCATTGACTAACCAAAACATTGAGCATTGAAAGCAAAGCAAAAGACAAATATTAACAAACAAGCATAGAAATGATGAACAAAACTAAAACATAAATCAAAAACAAAACCAAAAAAAAAAATATTTATTTGTAACTAAAACCAAAGTGCTTTTCTACTTATTTCATCTTTATAAATCTCTTACATTAAATTTAATTAAATGAACAACAAAATCTTTTAAGAAAATTATTTGCTATTCATTTGAAATAAAAGAGAATCGAACGTTTATGGTTTTTAGTGCAAAGGAATGATATGATTGATTCAAAAATTTTTCTCAATTGGCCTAGGAACCTTTGAAAAAGCGACTCAAGTCGACTTATTAAAGGTCCATACAATATTTTTTTCATGCAGTATAGTCTCTCCGCTGAACTTAATGAATCGCCTTGGGAAAAATGCAAACTCATTATTTATTCGCTTACAATGTCCAGCTGACTCAGAAATTATTGATGGATTGGTGCGGATTTTTTTTACTTCGAAAAACCTGCTGGTAGCGCTATTTCGGTCAACGGTGAGCGCTACAGTGGTACGATAAACGATTTCTTGTGGATGGAAATTGATGACATGGACTTGGACGAACGATATTTGGTTTTACCAGGATAATACGCCATGGCACACAATCCATGCCGCAATCGATCTTTTAGGTAAAGTACTATCAGCTGTCTAGTCGATGTCAAATTTCCACCTCAGAGCTGCGATCTGATGCACTAAGGGCCGTTTTCTCAAGTAACCTGTAACTTTAAAGCTCACTTTATATTTAAAGGTTGCATTAAAATGTCTGATTGTGTCTAAAGTAAATCATTTTATTATCGATTTTTTATTGTTTTACAACAAAGAAACATACATACGTCAAAAACCAATACTAAAAACGCTTAACTGTAGACATAGCTTTATTTTTAATCCAACCTTTAAATATAAAGTGAGCATTAAAGTTAAAGGTTACTTCAGAAAACGGCCCTAAGCATTTTTTTTTTGGGTTCCGTGAAAGCATGGCATGCCAACCCCGTTAGCTCTTCCAGCCTTGAAGAGGGGGAGACAACGGAACAATTGTTGTGTCTCTGCCCCGTCTTTGCAAATATTATGGACCTTAGTATGAGTTGCTGGCTTCGAAGATCGAAAGTGAAATTCGTATTATGAGCTATGCAAGCATGTCGAAATTTTCGTTGAGTATCGAATTTTCTGTCGAACAGAATTTTGCTTTATGCTTTGCATTTGTTTTACTTTTGGGCGTTTAGACACTAATTTTAATAAATTTCGATCAAATTCAAGCAGTTCTAACGTCGTGAATAGCTCAAAAGTCTGGTTTTACATATGAAAGAAAATCCCAATACGATTTTGGCACGTTCTCTGTATTGGCACGTATTTTAAACAGATTTGGATCGCACAATTTCTGAAATATATTGTATGTAGACTGCACTTAAACACTCTTAAACGTTTTCTGCTCCTGACCAGTTTTCTAAGCTCTCATCCTCTGACGAATCGTTCAACCAGAACTCCGCTGCAATAATTAAAATTTTTTTACCACGAAGGTCCATTAGATCTAGATGGTTTNAGCACAAAATCATGGAGGTGTTTATAGTCTTAAATAGTATATTTTAAACAGATTTGGATCACATAATTTCTTCAATATATTGTATGTAGACTGCACTTAAACTCTCTTAAACGTTTTCTGCTCCTGACCAGTTTTCTAAGCTCTCATCCTCTGACGAATCGTTCAACCAGAACTCCGCTGCAATAATTAAAATTTTTTTACCACGAAGGTCCATTAGATCTAGATGGTTTTCTTCTGGACAAATAGACTTTTAGTCAGCTCAGCGAATGTATGGCGATAACGACGGAATGCTAAGTAGCTAGGTGCTTTTGGCCGCGGATCAACCGACGGCGGCCAAGGGAACTCTTAAAATCGAACAAGCCACATCTCCCCTTACTGGTGGGCGTTCTAACCGGTAATTATTTCTCTCATTGGAATTCATACGACAAGACTCAAAATTATGTCAAGCCGCTTTACCAGATCTAAAGCCACAATAATTAGTTTCAATGAGTTCGTCGACGGAGGGCTTTAACCTTTTGCACACAAGCTCTACGGATTATTTTATCCGATGATCAAAACTCTGATCTCTGATCTGATTAGTTGGCTTAAGTGGTATGATTGTCATTATTGCCGTGTTTACTCTTACAAAATTCGCCGTGGTTTTGAATGCGCTCTACCCATGATACAATAATTTTTAGAAGGTATTTTCACTTCAAAATCTTTGACATTAACCGTGTCTGTGACAAACACGCAATGTGGCCACTGCCACGATATAGAACTTGGGGATTATCGCTTGTTATTTTAGATATTTTATAACAGAACATGTAAAGATTTATATGTTTCATAACTGATCGCTTAATTTAATATAAATATACGTATTTTGTACATACATTTTTGCCACTGCTAATCACATGAATAAAAATCATAAAAATGAAAATATAACAGCAATATTTCTTGTTTATAATGGATTAGATCCATCGCACACCACAGACTTTATCGGCCGCCAATTTAGATGTGCTCGCTAGTCTTTCCATTGCACCACAACTTATTGGCCAGAGCGATTAAGCTGGTGTTAGTTTACCTGAAGTCCTTAAAGCAGTCTTTTAGTTATGGTCCTGACCAGATCCCCACTTGTTTTCTTAGAAATTGTGCTGATTATCTCTATGAGCCGTTAACAGCCTTATTTAATTTGTCTCTTAAAGAGGGCGTTTTTCCAACTGTATGGAAGGAATCGTTCATAACCCCCTTACATAAAAGCGGTGGCAAGTCTTCAGTGGAGAACTACCGGGGCATAGCTAAGCTTTCTGCAATTCCTAAATTATTTGAAGCAATTATAACAAATCGGTTGACGCATTCTATCACTTAAGCATTTCATACAGTCAACATGGATTTTGCAAGGGCAAATCAACTTCTACAAATTTACTTGAATTAACATCCTATATCTCAAAAGCATTTAGTGAGAGCAAGACTGTTGATGTTATATATACTGATTTCAGTAAAGCATTTGACAAAGTGTGCCACTCGTTGCTCATCTATAAACTTGATCTTCTTGGTCTTCCACCTAATTTTCTACGTTGGATCTCTTCATACCTCTATGATAGATCACAAAGGGTATTGTTTAAAAATACTATCTCTGACGTCATTGATGTTACTTCAGGAGTCCCTCAGGGTAGCCACCTAGGCCCGATTCTGTTCTTGCTTTTTATAAACGATATTTCTACAGATATAAAATTCTCCAAAATTTTAATGTATGCAGATGATGTAAAACTTTATAAATCGTACGTTTCAATTGAAGAAAGGTCTTTGCTACAATCAGACTTAAACAGCATGGCTTACTGGTGTAAAGTAAATCTTATGCCTCTAAATCTTAAGAAATGTAAAGTAATGTGCTTCTCGCGAAGAGCTGTTCTGCCAGTTTCTTATATAATAGGCAACCATAACCTGGAACAGGTATACAATTTTGTGGACCTTGGTATCACAATGGATCCCAAGCTTAATTTTAATCTTCACATTAATGTGACAGTCAACAAGGCTAAAGGTGTACGATGGTCAAAAGAATTTAGTGACCCGTATATCACTAAAACCCTGTTTACAACATTAGTTAGGCCGATTCTGGAATACGGCTCGGTGGTTTGGAATCCAAGGTATCAAATTTACTCAGACAAGATAGAATCAATTCAAAAACAATTCCTACTTTTTGCTTTAAGAAATTTCCGATGGGATTCTCAATATAGTCTTCCACCTTATACGAGTCGCTTAAAACTTATTAACCTTCCTACACTTGCCAGTCGCAGGGAAATGCTTGGTATAATTTTTATGGTTAAATTACTGACAGGCTCAATTGCAAGTCCGTCTCTTCTGGCTGATGTAAGCTTTAATGTTCCGTCACGCGTATCAAATACTAAATATTTTGTCCCATATTTCTGAAAGCTTGTAAAACCAATTTTGAATTGCACTGACCCACTCCGTTGCTTATGCCAGGATTTTAACTCTCATTCCAGCACGTTTGATATATCAGATCCGCTTTTCAGCATTAAGAAAGCGATACTCTCCTCTCTCAATAAGTGAATTATTGACATAAATACATAAAATCAGCTGATGAATTTAGTTCTGTAGCTGAACAGTTTTAGATCTCGACACTTAACAAACTCCTGCCCATCGTGACTCGGCACAAAAATTTAAAATATTGGTTCCGTACGTCATGCGGACTGCGCCCCTCGTGCGGATGGGCGGGAATGGAGGGTAAAAAACGGTGGGAATTATTATAATGCGCCTCCATACATCTTCATGTACATATTTCAAGCGAGCCCTATCATTTAAATAGGCGGCCGATAAAGTCTGTGGTGTGCGGTGGCTCTTATAGCTGTGTCCTTACATCTATTCCGTGTGTTGCAATATCCACGAAAGCAGCAGTTAATTTTTTATGAAGAAAATTATTACAAAATATTCGAAAATTTCTCTACCCACATATATGTTTGGCTTTTCTTTGTTTTATTTTTCCAACGTCAAAAGCTGGATTTTTTTTTTTTTTGAAAAAGTTGGTACAACAAAAAATACGAAACACGTTTTCTGTCAGATAGCTAACATGGCGGATAAGAAGAAGAAGTGAAACTATCTTCTAAAAATTATTGTATCATGGCTCTACCTAAAATTTTTCGTTTGCACGCACATATGTATGAGTATACCTTTTGACTGTCAAATTAATTCCCTTCTAAAATCAAACAGATCTTTCTAGCGCCACAAAAATCTACAAATAAACGGAAGTCGCCCTGTGCGCCTAAATTCAGGCTAAAGTTTTCTGAGGTGTCACTAAAGCAGCATTTCCTCTCATTTATTGCTTATGTTGCACACAAGTATTGTGAGCAACATTTAGCTGTCAACATTGTTGCGATCGCGTTTGTATACAATGCTGCTACGGGCTGGGACGAAGACTGCCAACTTCCCTAAACTCGAAAGTGCCATACAGCTAAAAAAAAAAGTACCAAAAAGTGTTAAATAGAATAAGATGATTTGTTTTCTGTTTAAAATGAAATCATTTCATTCTTTCCCCATCCAACATTGTATGGAAAATATTTAACCACCTTATTAGAACAAAAATGCAATTCCAAAATAATAGAAACCGGTTTTTTCATGTGCGATAACTGGAAAAATTTTAGTAACAGTAAAAGTAGCTTTCATAAAGCGCTTCAAAAAAAATGTATGTGCATTCTTAATTGAAAATACGTACTTTCAGACTTAAGTGAAAGAGAAATTATCACTATTACTTTGAATTACAAATCCAGGTACCAAATTAAGTAAAACAAGGGCGAAAAAGGCTATCCTGACTGATTCAGCTTAATTTATCGCATCACATTTTTGACCCTTACCCTCCAATGAAACAACCCTTCTAGTGTATATAATTTTTTGATACAATTCTCGTGTATATTTATTTAGTTGAAAATTTTTCTTACAAAATAGTTTTAAACTTAAAATTATTTACACAAATACATACACATATATACACATATAATTAAAATAAATCCTAGTAATAGCAATTAAACCAAGCAAATACAGTACACTGGCATTTTATTGGCAACACTGCCTGATGTATCTAATACGTATGTACATACATACATACATATGTATGTACATATCTGATGTTGGTTGGGTAGCGAGTTGTAGAGACACGCTTGGCACAAAGAACGGTGAATTGAAAAAAGGTGAATGTTTGTTGGCAGTGAGTGCAGTTGGAACAAATAAAATGCTAGTGTACTATTATTTAGGGTTTAACTTTCTTCTAAATATTTATTATACATACACGACTATTTAATTGGAAACTTGCTCGAGAGAGAACAGAATTTGAGGTGCTGAGCTTCAAAAGAGGGATCTGTTTTTATTTCTATTGTTTTTATTTTTATTTAATTTTCACTTTTATTGCTAGCACGCCACAGGCGTTGCTGAAAAAAAAACATTGCAGCGGCCTATAATTCGCCGATTTGTTGGCATATTTTGAGCGAGTCGTTGTATCGAACCTGCGATCAATGCGATTCGCGGCCACAATGTTTAAAAAGTACGAATGCGAATTAGTGTGCTAAATTTTTTTGTTGGAAAAATCTATGGAATTAAGAATTTAAAATATTTACAATTTAAAAATTTTAGGACCAATTTCACGAAAGCAATTTAAGTGAAAAAAGATTTTAATGTTTTGAATTTTATATGGAAATTGACAGAAAATCGGCTCTAAATATTACAAACTCAAATAAAAAAATTTTTTGAAGATAAAAGTTTCGAAAGGTTAAATTAAAAAAAAATATATATTTTTCGCGAAAGCTAATATTTTTTGAGTTTCAAAAATGGCAGTTTTAAATTCTAAAATAAAAGAATTGAAGTAGAAAAATAAAAATTATAGACACAAAAAATAAAAAATTGTGCTATAACGAAATTTAAAACTTGAACCTAACAAAGTTAAAATACTATAATTATGGAATCAAAATTTTACGACTTTGAAATTTTAGAACTTTAAATATAAAAATATTTTTGGAAAAAAAATATTTTCGACAAGAGGTAATATTTTGGAATTAGGAAACCTAAAGATTTAAATGTAAAGCTAAACAATATAAGACCTAAATTCAAGAAAAAAAATTTAGAAAAAAAAAATTTTATGAAGTAAAAAAAAATATATGTATATGTATATATTTTGAAAAAAAAAATGTATAATGCATAGCTTTTTGATCATGGCCAACATATTTAAATTGTTTATATTTACTACTCTCTGGCACTTATATTTCTCTCAGCACTTCACTGAACCTGTATGTATGTATGTATGTATGTAATTCACTTTTGTTTTTATATTTATGAGTATTCTTATGCTTATTATTAAAATTCATTCATAGTGTACATATAAATTTATTATTAAATGAAATTTTGGCATGAATGGTCATTTCGTAAAACAATTTAAATTTTAAAATCCTAGAAATGCCAAAAATGATGTATGTTTTTTTTTGTAATTAGACACGTATGTTTGTACATATGTGGATGTACCTAATTAAATACCTATGTGCATATTAACGTACGCAAAACGTATTTTAAATGGCAGTATGGTATATGCACTTATAAGTTGATACACACATACACTCATAAAAATATACTTATTTGCATATACTGGCCCTTAACGTTGTTTATACGCGTCTACTTTCACAGAAAGTAGCGATCGTATATAATATTTATGTATTTTTTCATATTTTTAAAATCTTTGTTTTGAGTTTAGTTGTTTTTTTTTGGTTTTTGAAAATTTACAAAAAAAAAAATCTTAAAAATATTTTTGTTAATACAATCTTTTGCGACATCAAATACATTCACATACATTTATTTCCAAACTTTATTCTTAGTTTTGTATTATAACTAAAAGCACCTTTTTACGTATTTTTATACAATTACAATTAAAATTGTTTGTATGTATTTATTGCCAAAGCTGAAATTTAAAATTAAAATAAATTAATATTCGAGTCAAACGACTTATGCATATATACATATGTATGTACATAAGTATGTATGCGAGTAGCTGCTGGGAGTGAATGAGGTAGGAGGCTGGGATAAATTTAAAGACGCATTTTTATTTATTCGCAAAAATGCAAAGAAATGAGATATAAAAGATTTCTGGGAAATTATTTTAGGAAGTAACTTTTTCGGTGATTTTTTCGATTTATAATTTTAAATTTTTTTTGGAATATTTTGCAGTTTTTTTTTTAACAAATATATATATAAATTGCAATTTAGCAACTCAACTATTTAAAAAAAAGTATACACAATTTCTTAGAAGAAGTAAATATTAATATTTTTGTATTTTTTATTTTATATTTTCTAGTGCTGCATTTCTCCGCAAGCAGCAACCCGACGCAAGGGATTTTTAAAATATATGGCATATCTGAAATACATACACCTAGTTCAATATATACACATCTATTTTCATTAAGAAATTTTTTAAATTTGTTAGATTTAATTACTTTCATGTTTTTGTGTTTTTTTCTAATAATTTAAAATATTTTGATAATTACTCATTGATCTGAATGAAATTTCCTATTTGCAAATACATTCTTTTAGATTAAATTACTCATATTTTCCTTTTTTATTTTCCTTATTTTTAGTTTTTATTTTAACTATTTTTTAACTTAATTTATAATATTATTCATAACAATAGGGCGTATTTAAATTCCTGTTGAAAAGCAAACTTTCTCAAAAATTATTAATAATTTTCATTGGTTTAACATTTTCTTATGTTTTTAAAAATTTTGATCGAGTTTTTGTTGTGTGTGATTATTGTTATAGGCTGGTCAATCTAATTTGTAAATTATTCTTTTTAGTGGAATTAATAGAAATGTTTCCTGGCATCTAAATGTGTGCATTTGCTAAAATTTTACATAAAAAATATTTTCAGATTTTATATTTTTTGCAAAAGCTTTCAGTTTCTTGAAACCACCTAACGCTTAACTCGTTTTCATAAAAAGCGAATGTAAAAAATTGCCACTAATGCAGCGATGACCAAATACATCTACATATGTATGTGTTTACAAATATGCGCACAAAAGCTATCTCGAACCGCCAGTGTTTCAAAATGAAACGCAAAAACATGAAAGCTCTGACAAAAGTTTTCAAAATTCACTGGTGTTTGTGGAAGATTTTTGAAACTGTTTTTGCCTGTTGCAGCCAAGTGGCTGTTTATTAGAAATTTAAACTCTAGGGCAATCGTTTTTCTCTGCATAATTCTATAAAAAGCTATTGAGAGCTTGAAAAAGCTCATTCAGCAAAGTGATGACAAACACCGCTCTTGAGTAGTGTTGGACAGAGGGAGCTTTTAACCTGCTCTCGTCCATTTAAATTGCGTAAAAAGCTTGGCACGTGTGCCGGTAAAGTGGCCACCTGTGCGCCATGAAAACGAAAGAGGTTCGGTTGTGATTGACACCTATATTCATAAAATGTTAATGTAGTCAAAATATTCTACCTTCGAATGCTTTCATAAAAGACTATCGAGCTTTTTAAATTGTAAATCTTATAATTTTGCTGAAAGAATATTATTTTTAGAAAATCGGTGGCTAAAAAATTTCCAGAGCTTTCTCGAAAGATATCCTTTTTAATAAAATCGGTGACTAAAGAGCTTTACAATTTGGAAAGCTTTTCAAACAAACTTTGACTTTTGAACAAAGCTCCTGAAAATATTTGCATTTGCTTCTAAACATGTGTATCAGTGTTGGTTAGCGTGAGCTTTTACCAGTTTCCCTGCTAAATAAAACGAGCTTAATAAAGCTTCCCACGACAATTTATAAAGTGACCAACTCTGATAATATGTATGAATATATACATATTTGATTGAAATTGGGTTTCAATCAAAATTGAGATTTTGATTAAAAGCTTTTAACGTTGACTTCAAATTGTTTGAAAAACTATAAATCTAACGGGATATACTTTCACGGAAGTTGTTTTCGTATATTAGTAAATTTTTAATTTTTCTTCGATTTTTTTAGAAATCAAGACTTCTACATCGTTTTATATATTTTTTTGCAGTTTTTCTTTGAATTAATACTTTTTCAAACAATTATAAATTAAAATATTCTTACAATATATAGATACAATAAAATTTGAGAAAATTCAACTTTGTACTTAAGCAACAGTAAAATCTTTTATTTTTTAATCCTTACTCATCTATTTTGGGTTGTTCGACATTTTTCAACGAGATTGCGTAGATTTTCGAACACATTTTTGATACTTTATAACTGCAGCATTGTTTTTTGTTACATATTACTATTTTACTGTAAATATTGCTTTTGTTGTTGCTTATTATTTTCTACTTGCTGTTGGCAGTTTGTGGCCGCGGCTGCGCATTTAACGCTTACTTCAAACGAGCATATATTTAGGCGTCGAACTTTCGCTTACAAATTCACCACTTGCGTCAATTCGTTTATTATTATTGTTTTTGTTTTTGTTTCTTTCGTTAATTACCTTTGCTTATATTAATTATATTAGTCATCCTTTTTTATAATTGAAATATTTGTAATTAAAATATTTTTTCTTTTATTTATTACACTGTTTTACTGCCACATCTCTTTCTCCCTTCCATGGTTTCGTTGACTTGATTTGGTGGGTGGGCAATGACAACGTCGCCGCGTCACTGCATGGCACATAAATCTTGCACGCAATGCCAACTGTCATCACCGCATGCAGCTGTCAGCTCGCCTTCCAATACTGGTTGTGTCAAGACCACTTACCGAACGGTTTTTGTGAGCCTATTTTTGGGAGTGCGTTCGTGTTTGGAAAAAGAAAGTTGATTAAGCTGCGAGCGAAAAGGAAAAGTAAACGCCAATTTCTTACCCAACAAAAATTTTTATCCACACTTAGGTTGCTTTAGCCGATGTGCGGTCAAACGTCCAAATACAAGCCGGTATGAGAGAGTTGGCAACGTCCACAATAGCCACCACAGAAGGCGCGACGCGACGCTGTAGAGGTGTCGAACTGTAAAAAATAGAAAGAAAACCCGATAGCAGATGAGATGAAAAGCAAACCAATGAGATGACAGAACTTGCCGAAAAGACTGCTGTCATAACAAGTCGCCCAAAACTATGCCGCCATTAAACACATTTAAAATTGTACTACATCTCAACTGGTCGATAGCCGTCGATCTATCCTATCTTGGAGGCCGTGCAAAAGCCTATCTTAAACCGATGAACTATCCTAACTCTACACTAACTCCGCGCTGTCAGATAAACTATCCTCCCTCAGACTCGCCTAGAACTAAACAACTACTTAGTTTGAGATACTTCGAAACTTACAATTTCTGCCACCCTCATCTTAGGCTGGACAGAGGAGCTGCCCCACTGCCTAACCACAGTTCAATCGCGGAACATGCGGGAGATATGTCTAGAGAAATAGGAGTATGCAATGCGACCAGTGGGTCTATTGTGCCCTCATCTCATCACAACACTGCATCTAGCCCTAAAGACTATATATGTTATAATAGATCCCAGAAGTAGGGAGTGTAGATGCTCTTCTCTGGGCCTTAGATATCCTCTCCATTCTCCGTGAAACGGCCTGACGCTCCAGGAGGAGGTGCAATGATGGGAGTCACAAGAGTGGCATGGATCGCTGTACACGATCCCTAGCACATGCAAGTCGCATCTTAACCTACAATGATTGGCCAAAATACTTTTAAAAATTTGTTGCCTCTCCTTGGGCAGATTTGTGAGTAATCTGCATGGCTTTCGATTGCACCCCGCTAGTAAATTCTGTTAAGATGAAGAATGTTTCGTCGATGCAGTTCCCTCAGTTTAGTGTTTTCCCTTCGGAGCGCTTCTTTTATCGTGTTAAGACCTACTGCAAGGAAGAATTCAGATCCTATCGGGGTCATGGCAGCGGTAATTCTGTCTAACTGATTGGCTTCCTCATTTCCTTCGACTGCCATGTGCCCTGATACGCATATAAGTTGGATAGCATTGTTCTTGGAATAGGAATTAAGCTTCTCTAAGCACTCTACGACCAGAATTGGAAAATGAAATCTGGTTTCGGGGACTGGATGCGCTTAAAATAGTTAAACGTCTGGAGAAATCGGCGTTTATCCAGTAGTTCACCAGAGGAGATAGGACCGTCTCCTGGTACAGGATTTTTTGGAAATGTGTGACGGGAATCCATACGTGCTTATCGTCAAGCTGTCACTCCCTTCTTCACCTTAAACTCTTACAAGCCTCAAAGAGGTTTCATCAAAATAAGTCCCGGACCACTACCACAGAGAATATGCATCAATACATAATACATACTGTGTTAAGAGAAATGATAATTCCGTTGATTTTTTGTTATGATTTTGAAGAGGCTTCCCTGACAAGCCCTGTAGTCGGAGGAGAAATAAAAGCAGTTCGTTGCAGTCTGTAATATTTGCTATTTCAAGCTGGAACGGTATGAAGTGCCACGCCCTCTTAATTTTTTTTGGTACCAGCCTCAAACTAACCTACAATATTCAGAACCCAATTCTTTTGAAAAACGCGCTATACACCGAAATACTTTTACAATACACCAATCAGTTCGCCGCTTTTACTCACCGGTTTAGAGACCTTCATTATAACGCTATTGCCGAATGTATCCCAACGCGCACCGGCACGTATGCGAAAGCCGGTATTCTCCAAATTAATGGAGAAATCTCCCTGCGGACATTCCTTATTGCGATTGTAACAATCACCCGCCGAACCATACATTTGTGGCGTACCCATTGTCTCCGCAAATGTGAAATCATTTTCTATGACACGCAAGTCTGGCACACTTATGCGTATCTTACGGAAATTCGTACGTCCCGAACTCGTACTGTTATCACGGAATTCACGTAATCTCGACGCTGGCGGACATCTATCTGGATCCGTTGTTTTATAGTCATAGTAAATGGAATAGTTTTCTTGCTGATTCACGTTTATATACTCCTTTGGCGAGCTACTCATATTATGGCAGTAGACTTTGCGCGCACGCGAACGCACGTAGATGGTGTATTCACGATCCTGATAGTAGCGATGTAGACGGCGCAAATCATCACATGATTGTGGCATACACTCACGTGGTGGTGGGCATTTCTCTTTGATCAGTCGCTCCTTGGTGGGACAAACTATGCGACGACCCGTCGAATCGTGGCAAATGATGCGACGACGTCGAAAACCATCGCAGTTGCACTAAGGTATGAAAAGGGGGGATTTGTAGAGAAATAAATAAGAAAAAAAAGAAAAGTAAGGTCACATAAGTTCACTCTAGTACTTACGTTCGTAATGATTTTCGATTCCTTTCGCACACAATTGTTGCAGATCTTCTTCGATGGCGGCTTCTTGGTCGCATCGCAGTAGCGATATGCAATCGGATTGCCCAACACAGACTCACAGTATACTGAACGCGATTGATACTCCTCATGGCAATCGGACGGGCATTGTGTCCAATCGGAGGTGGACCATTTGCAGCTGACCTTGCAGGGTTTGTGCATGCGCTTTGGTGATGGCATGCGCAGATGCCGACAATGGTAGGGATCGATAATGACGCGTCGACGTGGTGTACCCTTGATCTCTGGCTTGTAGACGCGAGCACAATGGATCTCTTTGCGACGCACGCCATTACCGCACTCCACAGAACACTAAAGCAAATATAGCAGACCAAAAATATGTAATAAGGTAAGAGTTTTTGAAGAGCGCGAGGCGGACATTTGCAACTTACATTCGACCAATTGGATACGTATTTGATGTTGCAACATTTTCGCTTTGACAGCGGTCGGCGATCCATGGGACAGCCATAGCCCAGCGGATTGCGACATGTTACCGTACGATTCTTCTCGCAGTTGTCATTACATTCGCCCCACTCATCGGCGACCCAGTAGTTCGGAAACGAGCGCTGTGTGGCCTGTTAAATTTAGTAGGAAAGTTAATTGCTACAAAAAACTTCCTAACGCCGCCAGTACTTACCAAATTATCTTCATATGAGTAGCAAGGTTCTGGTTTACACGCTTTTATTGTATCGCGGTAGGAATCCAGCTTGCGCTGATCGCAGAAATTTTCACTGACACGCGTGCCATTCAGCATACAAACTACGCCACGTGTCTGCGTGCCCGTACCGCAGGATTTCGAGCACTGCAAAGGCAAGAAATACAAGCAAGTCATACCAACACATTCTTATAAGTCTTCACCGTTTTTCACCCCACAACTTACCGGCGTCCATTCTGTGTAATCCCAACAGCCTTCGCGGCACGGCTCATGCGGGCTAAACTCAAACTTCGACAGACAATAGGTCAGGTCCACAATATTCGAGCGGCTAATGTGCGGAAATGTTTGTATGCAGTAGTAGGTTTTCTCACGCGTTCCCAACATGCCGCACGAAGCCGAGCACTCGGAGATGTTCGCCACATTCAACGAGAGCACACAATCGGTGTTGCATTGCCGATATTCGGTGGGTGGCTTGGCGGTCTCATCGCAAAATTGTGGCGCCACCTTTAGTGCCTTGGTGGTGCTGACACAAACCGGCAAACGATGTGAGCTGCCATGACAGAGTGCATCACAATTGCTCCACGGTTGCATTTCCCAGTTATAGATTTCCACTTCGATTTCGGGCATCTGATAGATGGGTTTATCCATTGTGTAGGTGTAGGTGAGCAACAGCGAATCGTTATCCTTCGGCGCATTGGTGCTCATGGAAATAATCTGTGCAGAGAGAGAGGGAGAATTAACGAAAGCCAATGTAGCGAATTACGACAATCATGGCACTCCAGCGCATGTGCTTACCTCTACAATCAGATCACGTTTCAGTTTGCGTGAGAATGTGGTATTTACACGCTCGACTAAATTCTTGGCGCCGTTGTATTCGAAGGTTACGCCGGCATAGAATTTTACATTACGGAAGCTGCTAATGAGCGTGTTGCCATTGAGTAATGAGTTGCGTTCATCGTCGCGCAGCACAATGTAATTCTCATCGTGATATCCCGGCTGGGTGATGACAATGTTGGACGCGCCTGTAAAAGCGACCAAAAAGAGGGATTGCGAATATGAAGTAGAGTTTTTAAGAAAATTTTTAAACGAGAAATAATTTATATACATATATCGAGCCCTAACCGCCAAAATAACGTAAGCGACATTTTTTTCAAAATTTTATTTTTGATGCAGAAATACATCTAGTTGCTCTAGGAATATTTCTGCATCAAAAAGAAAATTTTGAAAAAAGTGCCGCTTACGTTATTTTGGCGGTTAGGGCTCGATATGTTTTAGTTTTCTATTGTGCAAGCATATTTTTTATCTGTCGGTATGGGCAAAATTTGTGTGTCCCAGCAGAAAATTTGTAACTACTTTTTATGTAACCCAGCAGAAAATATGTAAATGGATCTGGGGTGTACAAAATGAACATTTGTGGACTAGTACACGCCTAGTTTAGGGCAATTTCGCCTCCTGTTCAGACTATTTCAGGCCTATTTCGGGATTGTTTTGGGAAAATTTGAGGTTCGTTTCGGGACCTGTTCAGGACCATTTCGGGATTAGTTCAGGAACATTTTAGGACTAGTTCCCTATAATTTAGGGAACAGTTCATGACTATTTCTTTTTTTTGACTAATTTGGGATTATTTCGGGTTCATTTTCGGACTAATATGGTACCATTTCATAGCTGTAATGGAGGTTGTTGAATGCTTTGTGAGGGATATTACAGCCACTTGGGGGGGAAAAATAAATAAATTGCTACTTAAATTTAAAAGAATGAAAAATAAAAAAATAAAATTTCTAAAATTAAATTAAATAAAAAAATATATTTTTTTCTTGTTAAAACAATCAATCCTAAAACTTTTAAAAGAAAAAAACATTTAATTAATACAACTAAATGAAAACGGTAAGTTCCTAAAGCGTATGGCGTTTTCTTTTCTCGAAAAAATGTTCGTTTCATTCTACAAGAGAAAACATAAAAATATAATTCCTAAACTTTGTGGAAAACTCGCGAAAATGCACCAAATTTTCAACTTTTTAATCAGATTTCTTAGAATTTTTTTGAGTATGCAGTTTTGCCCATTCTAGTAAAAAATTGTAAGTTCGGAGTTAGTCAAAAATCGCATTGATTTTTGANGCAAATTTTCAACTTTTTAATCAGATTTCTTAGAATTTTTTTGAGTAAAAAATTGTAAGTTCGGAGTTAGTCAAAAATCGCATTGATTTTTGAGAATTTTTTTTTTTTTGTTGAAGGTTTTTGCAATTTTTACGAACAATATTTTTATAAAACATTGGCGCAAAAACATTAGAAAAAAATGTTGCATATATTGTGAAAAATTTGCTGTGCCAATACTTTTTGCCGGCAGTCTATGTACATATGTATTTCGGTTTCCAATAAAATCTAATATCTAAGATATAAATACATTAAAAGATAAAATTAAAAAATCCGACGATTCGAACTTCGGATTACTCGCATGGCATGCCAGTACTTTGCTCACTTAGCCATTGGAGCTGTGTACTTTCTGTTTTTTCCACGCGAAGGTTGGCAATACAGCTTTTTTTGTAAATTTTTTTAACTAGCTTGCCTACTGTCTTTCAATTGTCTTACAAAAGACTTGCAACTGTCTTAGCCTGAATAGTCCCGTTAGATGTAGCATACCCGCACTGCAAGCAGTTTGCTTGGCATGTAGCTCCACGGGCATATAATACAGTAAAGCATCCGTTATGAAAATGTATGTATGTAGGCCTCGTCCGCGTTTATCGCATCATAGAGTTATCTTGGTACACTCTAATGTATATACTGGTATGCTAGGCTGGTATGTATACAAGTCAAATATTAATATTTTTTCTAGCTTTTTCTTGGTACACTCTAATGTATATACTGGTATGCTATGCTGGTATGTATACAAGTCAAATATTAATATTTTTTCTAGCTTTTTCTTGGTACACTCTAATGTATATACTGGTATGCTATGCTGGTATGTATACAAGTCAAATATTAATATTTTTTCTAGCGCGTGAACGTCATTAATTTTTCCAACTGTCAATTAAAGTAGACAATTTGATTGACAGTTCACTCCCATCTATTCAATTAGCTACTTTATCAATAAGATTTTAAATTTTTTTATAAATACATAAAAAAAATTTGATTATTTTGTATTCATATCAATGCGCGTATGCTGTTTACAATTCACGCAGCAGTTCAGTTGTTCAGCAACTATTTTTAAAATCGACCGTCGATTTTCCCGCGCACGGAATTATTATTTATTACAATTCAAGCAACGTGCAACAAATACACTATAACATTTATCGGTGTATGTGTATATGTATGTACATAAGTGCGATAGTACAACACATGCAATTAAGTAAAATGCCAAGCAATTTGTATGCGTCGCGTTAATTGTTGCTACTGGCTTGGTTGGCGCATATTTACATATTTGCACTTTTGCGATTATCAATTTTCTAATTGCCATAGAATAATCAACGTGGATTTACTTGCATACATACGTACGCACACATATAGAGGTTAATGTACCAGCAATTGACAAATGCATATATGTACATATGTATGTATGTACATTTACATTTCCACTCACTAATAAATACATAGAAATCCATTTGTGTTTTGTTGATTTGTTGATTTGATCGCCACAAACTTTTATTTGGCGCGTCGAGCAGACAGATAGCCGGCGCCATCAGCTGACGCACGGCGATAACTCTATAACCTTGAACTTGAACTTTCTAGCTGATGGCGCTGTGTAAAGGCCCATATTTTCGCGGAACATTAGCTGTCATAAAGGCATGCAAACCTATTGAATATTGCATATAAATACTTAGGCATGCGCTTGCGTCCGCAAATAATTTGAAAATTTATAATAAAATATTTTTGCAAATTATTGCTTGGCGTTGATTTGCATGGGTGTCAAGTTGCTAGTTTGACAATTTGTTGACTGTTTTAACTCTGCAAATGCTCGTGCAAGTCCCAGTTGTGAAAATTTCACGGAATAAACGCATTAACTGATAAGAGATTAAATTTGTTTTGCACTAAATAATTTTTGTGAAGCCAAGTAATTCTGTGCACATTTTTGTGCTAAAAATACCGCAATTTTTGAACAGAAAAAATTATAGACGTATCTTTGCTCGAGCAATTCCGGAATCGAAAAACTATACCCAACGAATGGTTTGTGCCTCGACACAAATTTTTTACAAAACTNGTAATTAATGTGAAGCCAAGTAATTCTGTGCACATTACTGTGCACTATACCCAACGAATGGTTTGTGCCTCGACACAAATTTTTTACAAAACTCTAACTTCTTTTTCTAATGAAGGAGGTTAGGCTAAGGGCATCATTACCTCAAAGATGGGCGCGCTTTGACCTTACCGCACAGTCCTTTGTGATATCCCCAAGAGTGGTAAGTGCTAAGCGAAAAACGCTGAGTACCAAGGACAAAGTTTCTTAGGCTACGTGAATCGCGCGACTCGAATATGCTAGGTCATGTACTAGCCTTAGGCGGGAGCTACCAGTTACGAAGGAACCTCAGAGCCGGCCTAAAACTGCGATCTTAGTTGTTTAGACCGCACGCTCATAGCTGGACAGCTTAAGAGAAAATGTTGAGTTGATTCTGCCTCATCGCCCTCTGGCAGTGAAGATTCTGTGAGATATATGGTCACATCGCGTGTTGGGTTCGTGTCCCCCTCGTTGGAATATAAGTTGCGGCTTTGTGTGTCCAAAAGATCATGGACGGTCCAACTTTGACCAGAAAAGCCTTACAGTTACATGTGTCCAGGTTTTTGTCTAGCGTCTGAGCTGACACGAAGAACATATATACCACCACTCCACACAAGGTTTCATAACCCCTTACAAGTCTAACTAGGAAACAGTTAATCAGACACAGCTGAAAGAAATGTCGGGAATTCCTCTACTAGTTTTGAGCTCATCGTGAACAAGACCAAGAGTCGGATTACCGATTAGATGTCGCAGCAGATTCCACCTCGTTTTTCGACGTGGCACAATAGAGCGCCCAAACGACTGCTTTCTTAATGACATCTACATACCTCTGCCTGGATGACACTACCGTGAGCTGGAAGCCTAAATTTTAGGTCGATGGCGGGTTTCCTGCAAAAGACCTCTCCCAAGAAATCTCGGCTGAAGACAAAACTTGAAAGAGCTTTTCCCGCGGGTTAGGCCGGTAGCTACCTACCACCGATTTAAACATATAAGTGTTGGATGCTAAATGATTCGAATTCTTTAATATCTTAGGGAGTTAAACAATCCCGTCAAATCATTACCGTAATATACGATCTAGACTTTTTTAAAGCTCTCAGTAATAATGTTCTAATTTGCTACATAAATATTCGTTTCTCTGTGCCTTCTAGAGCTATTGTTGCGTTGGGTAAAAAAAAGAACTATTCAAATAAAAACAGAAAAGTCTAGACACTACATAGCTACAATTTATCAATTTAGACGATGTGAATTTTGCGTTTGCATCTTTTGATTTATTGGCAAACAAAACCAAGTTCAATGACATTTACAATTAAATTGGTCCAACTTGAAAGCGAAATAGCATAGAAAGTATTTATTAATAATTAAATAGTTTTATTTTTAATCGAAAAATTGGTATCACTTATTTTTAATTTTTTTGAACGGAGACTACTCTGAAATTATTCAATACTATTTATAAGAGCTAGTATTTAGTGAAACTTAATAACATTTCGAGCGAAAGGGATTGCAATTTGTATGTATATACATATTTGCTTGCTTTGCAGATGTCTGGTGCACACACCAACGATGACTTGTGGAGCAGCTTTGCCATCCCTGCAGACCCTGACTCGCGGTCCGATCCACCAAATATCCAATTCGCTACTTTAAGTAAGGCAAGTACTTCCAGTTAAAAAACCATTATCACCGAGATCGCCAAGGAAGCATTTGGATTTCTTGTTTATTCTCCTGTAGGAAAACTAATATCGTACTTTCCTCCAAAAGGGACTCAAAATAACACTTTTTTGGGTAAAAAGCAAAAAGTACTATTTGTACAGTGTAGTT